TCACCTTTATCACCTCCCGTCCCGATAGAATTTCTGAGTAGTTCAGCAAGACTCCCTTCGTTCTCGTTGCGAGCCAGAGCAAAAGATTCTCCTAGCGACTTCCCAGAAGAGGTGACATTCGCTCGGCCTGAAACCGCCTGGCGCCCTAGCCACAAATAGGTCTGAAAACTAATTCGGTATTCGTGATCAGGACATCAAATAACCCTACTATGCAAATTTACACCGAATTTGGTGAGAAAGGTGGCGGCGCCAAACTGGCGCCAATTTGGCGCCAGCGCCGAAAACGAGTGCTATATTCGTGATCAGGACACCGAATTACCTCTGTGGGCAAAGTTTCACAAAAAATTTTTTGACTTTTTGGGGTAGGTCTGCTGTGAACACCTGTAAATTCCCTCTAAACCTACGCAGTACTAGGAACTTCGTCCTCATTTGACAAGTGTTTATAGGTTTTGTCAAGTTGACAAGTGTATTTCAAATGGAATTAGCAAAATAAACTTGCGAAAGTTTAAAATGCCCCTCCCTAAACCGAATAGCGCTGATTCGTGTCACATGCTGTGAAACAGTAGTAGAAATATTTCCTTAGTTGATTGTTTCACTTCAACATTGTTTAGAAATGGAGATCCGATGCAGAAAAGGAGACTTCTGCCTCTTTCCGTTATCGCTGTACGAGCAATTTTCGAACAACCGAGTACGCGTGTGCCACGACTTTTGTGTCGAAAGGCGAGCAGGAACCTCAGCCTAAAAAGGCTAAAACACCTGAAAAGTGTTGCCCAGCATTCATGAAGGTGAATTTATTTGCATTCAAATGTTTGCATCTTTCAGTGTTTAAATATTGGTTTACGACAATAACTACTATTTCCGTGTTGATTGGCCTGCCTTTCTTCAGTGTCGTCCAAGAGGTGATGGTACAGTTGACGCAATAGCTTGCTTTGATCATGCTGGTCATCCGGAAAATCCAGAAACGTCAGCTGAGCAGCCGAAGGAGGGAGTTCGTGGGTTTCTGCTAAGTAAGTTAGTTCTATGTAGCAAGAACGCCATGTAGCTCCAACTGAAAGTTCGTTGCGAACTTGTAATTGCTTACTTAATTAGGGATTCTGATTACGCATATTACATCCATTTTTCGAGACCACTGCTGCTTATCGTTCTGCTCAAGCTGAGCATGAGAGAAGGGTCTCCCAGGCTCAGTTTTGGCCCAAATGCTGTGTCCCCTATAGGCAAGTGGCTTGATAAATCGTCCATGCCTACAGATTCGCTACGCCCAGCTTTATAGAACGTTGGGTCCCCATAGCCTTGTGGGGCTTTTTCCGACCAAGGAGGCCACTACAGCGCAAAGGTGCAACGTGCCGACCCAGACGCCCGCCCCTACCGCCTGTCCGCAAATGGCTGCACAGTCACTTCGATGCTGATACTTATTATGGCTTCATTTATAAACTGCAAATTATATGAAGCGTTGCTTCATGTATTCAATATATTTGTGCCGCCGTATATGAAAGCGGTTGTTGGCACGCGACGGGAAACTCGTCCAAAGATGCTCGTGCAATGCCGTGCAGAACGGAGAGTTATGCACAGGTTTCCGACTGTTTAACGTTTTATTTCGTCATACTCCCAATTATATAGCACCCCTGCTACATTTTTTACTGAATAATAAATTATCGTGCCCTTAGCACCTTTAAAGGGCTGAGTCTGCGTCAAATATGATGATAGTTATGCTGGCTCAGATACTATGGCATGTTAGCAATATGAGTCCATGTAGTTAAGAAAAAGCAGAATAAAAACTAGCAGGAATTGTCCTATAGTGGGAATCCGCCGATCCGAGCTGAGGTTGTACGTGCGTAAGGCGATAGGAGGCTGTGGTCGTACGAGTTCTTACTTTGTTGGTATTTTTCCCTTATCACCTCACTATCACTATTCGAAGTGGAGAGAGTTAGTAGCAGAAAACCGGGCCATCAGGCAGCCATTAGGAATGAACGGTGGGCGGTGCCAGTGATGGGGGTTGGGCCGTTGAGAGGAACGACGTTATCGTGGACCTCCTCACTCGTTTTCGCGCTGCGAAAGTGGTGTAATCGCTGCCTCTGCGAACCTGGCTACCTGCTCACGAAGGGAGAGGGAAATCTCAACTGAACGCGGGCACTGCCTTTAGTTTTGTGCCAGAGCCGAAAGTAAATGAAAATTCTGTGATCAGGACTGCGATGAGTCTGGTTAAAAAAAAAAAAAAAAATAAACACTGATAGCACTGATTGAGCTGTTTCCTATGAAAACAGGCGGAAAACGGATCATTTGGCGTTTTGTGGTAGTCCTTCACCGCACATCTATTTCATCTTTTCTAAATGGACGAGACCGCAGTTTTCTGAAGTTTATTGATTAATAATTCAGTGCCATGCCAACCAATAAGGTTGTGTTCAGGTCCCGAAAATTGTGATCCGACCCGTGAATGTAGTGAGTGTGGTGAAGGACCAATGACTCCAGTAGAGATGAATATACATTGGCGGGAAGTTCACGGATGCTCGAATATAAAAGACTGTGAGAAAGTCAAGGATTCACTATAGTTGTGAACCCGTGTAGATTTCATTGCTTCACCCCAACTCTCATGGATTCACACATGCAGGTATGTCTGTTTTGTTGTGGATTGAGGTTTCTGAACAACTATTCAGAGAAAATGCAGAGATTTTTCTTTCTTCCAGGTGTATCATCCGAATACCTCTGAAGAAGGCTTATTCAAGGTGACAACTCCTATACCAGAGTCGATAACCTGCGAGAAATGTCAGATGACGTTCAGAACGAAATATCAACTAGCTGTTCACTGTATTAGCTTTCACGGAAACCTTTCATGCAACTCGTTTATTGTTCAGACGTCGTTCAATAGCTGGGCGCAGTTCCAGGTAGGTGTCTTGCTTCTGCGTTCCGAAG